AAAAACCTTTTCCTCCTCTTATAATACAGGGTAGCCCCCTCCCCCCAAAAAAAGGAATCGGGACTATGTGTAGAAGTAGCAAATACCACGCTTCAATTAAACAGGAGAGTAAGTTAATATTTTCCTTACCTGAAAATGTATTTCGGATACGAAATATCACACTATCATATATACACAATAGGTATTACCTTCCAACACAAAGAACATGTATTTCAATAAAATAGGTAAACTGTACAGTGACTGAAAGAAGTGTTACGACAGTGGAAGTCACGTGACTCTGGTAACACGTAATGAGTTCTAGAAAGATATAAGATATGAGTTCAGAAATATATAACAGATGGTTTTAGTCTACACTGCACTTAACCATCGAATGTTTTTTTCGTGAAAAGAAACATTTTATATATTTACTTATTTATCTACTTTAAAATAAATACATTGTTCATCTTACCGGGTGCATGCGAAGTTTCTTTTCCCTATAAACATAAATGAAGTAGCCCGTTGCCATGCCAACACAGTACGTTCCCAGGTGGGTGTAAGGCATTGTGATGATTAGACGCAAATGTTCCATTTGAACACTAGATAGTGAAATAGGAATAAAAAAGTACAGCAGCTAATAGTTATTATATGATGAGTTTGTTAAAAATATTTGCTAAGTGTTAGATACGACAAAACTTAAATGTAAAATTTTGTTTCAACCTGCGAATTTTCTGAACATTTTATCTCACTCATGACTGCAAACGTTTACTGAACAATAAAATACCAACCGTTTACCTGTGATCTGTTACAGAGGCCAATAAAACGGGCATTTGGTTGAATAATGGTGTTATGACGGCGAGAGTGACAACAGAAATAAGTATCCCTGTGGCGATCAATATTTTCCCGATTACTGGTTTTCTGCAGGGTAAGAATTACAATTTGAGAAACCTATACATAATTAAGAGCTTACATAAGCTATGTATTATAAATCAGCGTTCGTGTTTATCTAATGGAAAGTGATGAATAAAGAATACTATATATGTATGTGAATAGGTATATGTACACAGCGTGGTCACAAGTAAATAGACACCACCTTTTCAGAAAAAATGAAATTTTTCAGTCATATTCACATGAATTGATATATTTATAATTTAATTAATATCTAGTAGATCTTCCTTTCGCTTCGTGGAGTTCGTTGATCCTTTGGGGCATTTTGAGAATCATCTCCTCAATTTTAGATTGTGGGATTTTCGCCCACTCTTGCTTCAAAACTTGGAGTAATTTGCTCTCCGAAGTTGTTTTTTTTTT